GTGGGCAGGGTTCTTAATTTTTTTAATGTCTTTAATTGGTAAGATGGCCCCCTCTTGATTTTACGGGCTTCTTTTTAAGCCTAAAGACAGGGCCCCTGGTCTAGCTTTCCATTTAACTTCCATAGCTTCCATTTCTGGGAGGACTTTCTAAATCAGAGGGCACACACCAGCTCCCCTTCCACAGGGTCCAGCCGTCGCTACCAGGTGAATGCCGTGCACACCAGCAAGGCCTGCAACATCATCAGCAAGTATACCACCTTCATACCTGTGGACATGAGCCTGAGTCGGTACCTGCCCACTGTGGTGGAATACCCCATCTCTGGTAAGACGTGCAGGGCACTTCTGAGGGCAAAGCATCCCTGGTGGGCTGGAGGAGGGGATAACATAGAAAAGAGGACAGAGATTTGGGGAAAGATGCAAGGAAGGGCCTGAAAACAGAAAAACCTACGCTTCCACCAGACACATCGACCTCATCCTCCCATTCTTTGAAAGGGTGTGAAAATACTCAACTTCCTCTCCTGCTAGATGACAATTACTTTACTGCATGTTTCCAGTTGGGATATTGTGTTTACTGCAGAAAATTCCCAAATATGTGTTCATATAAAATGGACAAAAATAACTGGAACTAGTAGTCATCCAGAAATGATGACCAGTGACCTTCATTATGTTGGTAAGTCCATCTTTTCAGCCCTCTCTCCATGGATATGTTCATGTAGAGGTACCAAAAGACAGATAATCATGTGTTAATTGGATTATACCAAAATGTGCTCTCTGTGGGAGAAGGATGGGCATTCTCCTCCCCTGCGATTTACTGCTTCTGAAAACCTGCTGGAGAGTCAGCTATGGGTCCATTCATACTCAACAGCACACACCAACAGCAATACATGCTATATTTTTCAAAATATGCATGTGAAAAGCTTTTCTATGAAGAATCAAGTCTATGTTTAGCAAACATTTTAACGTCCACAGCATTTTCCACTGCAAGGGATGGGTCATCATAATATTGGCCAATTAGACAGGATTCTTAGGTTTTAATTCATTTAATCTGCAAAACAGTTATGCAAAGTATACTGATATTACTCTTATTTAGTAGTTGCTGTTGTTGTTAGGTACCATCAAGTCAACTACCACTCGTAACGACCCGATGAACGACAGTTAGGAGCCTTGCCCTGTCCTGTGTCATCCCCACAAGCTCTGTCATGCCCGGGCTTATTGTAGTCACACTGTCAGTTCGTCTCATTGAGGGTCTTCCTCTCTTTTGCTGACTCTACCTTTTCCAGCATGATGTCTATCTCCAAGGGCTGATTCCTCCTGAAATGTGCTCAAAATAAGTGAGAAGTTGCACTGGTTTTGCCTCTAAGAAGCACATTGGTTGCTCTTCCTTCAAGACAATTTGTTTGTTCCTTTGGCAAACCATAGCATGTTCAGTACTCTTTGCCAGCACCACAATTTAAAGGCATCTATTCTTCATTCTTTCTTATTCATTATCCAACTTTCAAATGCATGATGTTGTTGTTGTTATGTGCTGTCGAGCCGTTTGTTATGTGCTGTCGAGCCGTTTGTGACTCTTAGTGACCCTATGTACAACAGCCCTAAACCCTGCTCTGTCCTGTGCCAATCGCACTGTCTCTGACACACCCATCCCGAATACCCCAGTCACTGAATCAATCCACCTTATAGAGGGCCTTCCCCTCCTGTGCTGTCCCTCCACCCTACCAAACATGATGTCCCTCTCTAAGGACCTGTCCCTCCTTACAACATGTCCAAAGTATGTCAGAAAAGCCCCAGAATCCTTGCCTCCAAGGAGCAGTCTGGTTTAACCCTCTCCAGGATGAATCCATTTGTTTTCTTGGCAGTCCAGGGTACATTTAATACTCTTATCCAGCACCACAGTTCAAAGGCATCAATTCTCCTTCTATCCTCCCTAGTCATTGTCTAACTCTCTGATGCATAACAAGTGATTGCAAAGACCATAGCCCGTATCAGATG